ATAAATATATATATAAATATATAAATAAATAAATAAATAAATAAATAAATAAATAAATAAATAATACTTTTACATCGTCAGGAAAAAAATAAACCTGTTATATATTCATTCCAGTTTTTGACTTGAATAGTGGTTGTTACGAAATGGAATGTGTTTTAACTTAGAGAATATAAGTAGTGTTTTTGAAATAATAATAGTGTTTTTTTAGAGAAAAGAAGAACATTGCAAAATTGTGTTTTAATCATTTTGGTTGTCGAAAATACATCCGAGTTTATTTTGCTAAAATAGTTATTTTTTAATATTGTGTGTTTTTTCCAATGCCAAATACGGGGACGATAAAGGCAGGGCCGATGACGACGATACGACGTTACTGTGACGATGCGATGGTTACTGTGACGGAGTGGTAAAGGGGGTTATTCTGTAACGTTGACGATGACGATTACAAAAACGAAGATGATGATGATGACTGTATTGGTAATGATAATGATTTGAGTGAGGATGTTGGTGCCAAAACTGCCCTGCTCTGAGAAAAGGCATTAAGTAACAAAATCATAGTTTTGAGTAAATGAGCAAAAGCGTTTGAGTTTTTCCCAAGAAAAGTACAAATGATTTCAAATTTTTTAAACTATGGTTTGCTTAGATATAGTATTAACAAATTTGCCACATACTTTTCATTGATTAATTTTATTATTAAGGGGGCCAAAATGGAGATAATGCCTTTTTTCAGAGTATTTATAACTATGAATGTAGATAAATACTTTTGAAATCGGGCATTATCTGCAAAAGTGTTTATAAACATGCATTATTTATTAATTTATTATGAAATATGAAATTTAATCTATAGATTTATAACATATATTTTATAAAAAATCTTGCACCAAAAACAAGTGAAAACTAATATTTAAAAATATTAAAATAGTTAAAACCGCAAAATCTTCTATTTAATTTCTAAAAACCGAAGTATATGTAGCAAGTCCAAAGATTTGTGTAAAAATTGAAGGCTAGTATACTCTGACATTATAAAATGAGGAATTTAATTGTGTACACGAGGAAAATGCGGAGAGGGGAGGGGAAAGGAGCCGATGCGCAGAGGGGAGGGGAAGGAGCCAGTGTGAGGGGGGGGGGGTGTGAGGTAGGATAGAGTGAAATTATTTTTAAACGTATTTTATTTATGGTTCGGTAACTAGCATGTCATCACATTTTTAAATCTATTCATCCTCTTCATCATCATCATCATCCACACCATCATAATCATCACCATTATCGATTCATTTATTTTATTTATCATTATAATTAAATCGTTATCGACTAATAATAAAATAGACAATGCATTATAATTTCAAATTCAAGGTTTTTTGATAATAACTTTTTAATTAACAATAACATGTAGAAAAATATATAAAAATGGTGTGCTAATTTTAAATATAAGATTAATAAATTTATATTTATTAAGTTATAATATACATTGCAACTGTTATCTTTACAATGATAATAATACAATACAACATAGGTTATATAAATGAGTGCAAAACATTTTAAACGTTTTATTTACAATGCTCCGACTTTTACATTAAAAAAAAAAAAAGTTATTTACACTTTTTCTTTTACATTTGCATTACTCAATGTCCCTTCCTCGAAGTGGAGCACGATCTCAGTGGCGGAAATTGTGTCTGTCCGTTTTTGGTTTACCACTTGGTTTGCCTAAAAGAGTAATAATAATGATGATAATAACAATAACAGTAATAATAATAATAATAATAATAATAATAATAATAATAATAATAATAATAATAATAATAATAATAACAATAATAATAATAATAATAAAACACAATACAAAACATACAATGTCGATAAAACAAAAAATAATACTACAAAATAATAATTATAATCTAAATTTAATACTTAATAGGTATGAAAAATAATAAAATACAATATTGTACTTACTCTTCCTAAAGACTTCTAAAAACGTCTTGTGCTGAAACTTGCATCATTTCGGCAAAAGTATCGCATTAGGTGTAATCACAGAATTATAAATAAACGCGGTAAAATATAAAACAGATAATGCACTTAATGAAAACGGTATTGTCAAAAGAAGACTTAATTGTAATAAGCTTTATTAAAAATAATCTATCAATATTATTAGATAGTGCAGATACTGT